TTTTTTTTTGCAAAAATGAGAGAAACCATTTGCTAATCTATAAAAAGTCGGTGACAGGTTATAAGATCAACGGAAATAAGGTCAATTGACTTTATTTCCCACCCTGGTGCCAAATAAAGTCAATTGACATTATTAGCTTTTCATAAGCGAAATAAAATCCATTGACATTATTGCTCCTTCAAACATTAAATTTGCTTAGCTTCGCGGCGGCCCGCGTCTGCGCGCCACACAGCGCGCGCCAGGCTCTCGCCCCGCGTACCCCGTGCGACCGGCGTTTTATAAAGAAGAACATAGTCTAGACTCTCTAGGCTATCGCTGAAACCATCGTATTTCGATTTTCGTAAAATTGTGGAAAATGCGATCATTGAATCTGAATTGCTACGAACGTATGCGCTCAAAGTGTATGCTTCATAGATTTTACGAAAATTAGGACTGCGACGGATTCAGTGATAGCCCTGAGTACCAAAATTTAAGAAAATGAAAAGGCGGTTAAAAAAGTTTAGACAGTCAACACATGAAAACTGAAATCTAGGTCGCCATTCAAAACAAAGTACTCTTTCAACTTAGATTCTTCTACTTAGTTTTAATGTATTGACTGTTAAAACTCTATGATTCGCCATTTTGGTTTGGACGCCATTTTGGATTAGGAATAGGGTTTTCTAAAATAGACTATGCTCTTCTTGTCAAGATTTTTCATTTGCTACCCATATTTATTATTTCAATAAAAATATTAAAATAAATTAAATTTAATTATTTATGTTTCATTTTATATTGACTTATTTTCAATCTTTGTTGCTTCGCTTTTTATTTTATTTTGCCTTAGTTTATTATATATTATTCTGTTTTATTTTCGTACTTTTTTGTTTTACTTTATTTAATCATTTATGGTTTTTTCTCTGTTCATATCTTGTTTTACTCTATTTATTAAAATTAAATACTACCTTATTTGAATAAGAAATCCATTATTTTCTATTGAAATTCTTTTAGTACATCGTCTCAGCGCCCAGTCAATCTGAAGTGATGATAGGTATGTTTGTGCCATGGTGTAAGGATTGCAATGCCAATGTCCTACTGCAGGCGGTAGGCATTGTCGGTGCTGTGATAATGCCCCACAATCTATACCTGCATTCCGCCTTAGTCAAAGTAAGTTCTACTTACCTTAAAATTTTCTACGTATGTAAATTCATAATCTCTTTACAGTCACGTGATATCGATCGCCGTCAACCGAAAAGAGTGAGCGAGGCGAATTTCTACTTCTTCATTGAGGCGTCAGTGGCGCTGTTTGTATCCTTTATTATAAATCTTTTCGTTGTGGCGGTCTTTGCGCATGGCATGTATGGTAAAACCAATCAGGACGTGGTATGTAATTAAGCAACTTGTTTTGTTTTAATGCTTTCTCAACAATAATATTTATCTTCAAATTCACACTTTGGCGTTTTCCTCATATTTAGCTTGATGTCTGCGTTAATCAAAGCATGTACGAGGATGCGAAAGCTTCGTTTGCGGATAATAATAATAACACAGATCTCATTGATGCTGATATCTACAAAGGTGGCCTATTCTTGGGTTGCACTTTCGGCGCAGTGGCAATGTATATTTGGGGTGTTGGCATTTTGGCGGCAGGACAGAGTTCCACCATGACTGGCACATATGCGGGTCAATTTTCAATGGAAGGGTTCTTGAATCTGCAATGGCCACGTTGGCGACGTGTACTTTTTACGCGGCTAATTGCAATTATACCCACTTTCTGTTTGGCATTCTTCACTCGCATGGAGGACTTGACACATCTCAATGATATACTGAACGCTGTGATGTCGTTGCAATTGCCTTTTGCTGCTATACCAACGATAGCATTCACCTCATGTGCGGCCATAATGGGTGAATTTGTGAATGGAATGTAAGTAAGGCAATGGTAGTGTGAAATATTTCAAAGTATGAAAACATTGTTTGGTTAAGACAGGATCACAAAAAAATCGATGTTAGGTGGTTTTTACTACACTAGGTGCTTTATGGTTGGAACATGAACCTAAAGTCCGTTTTGTTCCATCAGGACAGGATTGTGTCTAACCTCAAAAAACTTTACTTAAATCGTAGTATTAAGAGGTTTTTTGGGTCGCTTCTAACGAATATGAAGTCGTAGAATTTTTAAGTGGAGAAATGGCGGGTCCAGTATGGTTTAAATTTTTTAAACTGTTGGTTTTCGATTTCAAAAATCTGGCTTTAGATCCGTAATCAGAAATCTTAAATTGTATATAGGTACCAAATTTGGATCCGCCATTTTGAATTTTAAAATCTGATTTCATATTCGTATTCAGCGACCCCAAAAACTTCAATTTACCGATTTTTATACAATGCAAATATGTAATTTCTTAAAATTCTGTCGCAAAATTGGATGCGCCATTATGGATTTGAAAATTTGTGATAAACAACTTCAAAATCCCTTAATACCAAGATTAAAGTGAATCCGTCAATATTTTTTTATAATTTGGCATGTCACATAAAGTACGTCTAGCTTTTAAGATTAAAAGAAGTTTCTGAAATGATGGAGCAAAACGGACTTCAGATTCGTGTTCAGCGAATGCGGAAATATCTATAAAGTCTGTTCAAAAGAAGCTTTCATCGGATGTTTTTGTGGTTTTGTGAAATTTTAGTTTTGAGGCAATTTGAGACTAAACGCGATTTAGAAAAGTTTTGCAAACAACTAATATGTTTTCTTTTCTTTACAAAAAAGCACCAACAAGGTCATCTCTATACTTTTAACAATAGTCGTGATAACGGTAAACATCTACTTTGTTGTTGTACAAGTACAAACGGCGTCCTTGGAAGGTGGCTTTGTAGCATTAGTTTGTGAGTATTGATTTTATTTATTTTTATTTTAAATTAAAAATTGTTTTTCAAATTATGATCAAAAATCTTTTGCAGGTATAGTTGCCATTTTATATTTGCTTTTTAACCTTTACCTTGTGATACACATGATTGCGTGCATGGGCAATCGAAGGTTCGTGGATAATCGGGTAAGTGAAACAACTTAAGGAGACTATAAGCCTGGAGCTACTCCGCGTATCAGAAACTGTGTATATGTACCACATAATGTTCTGATATATCCAACCTTGACGAGCTTTACAACATACTCGAATGAATCAAACTGTATTTCCTTAAAAATGAATTTCAACTTATCGTTGAAACAGACTTTAAACTTTTCTTGATGGGCTTTAAATATTGACAGTTTTATCTCGTGAAGTTATAAATTTACATACGTATTTAGTCACGAACTGCAATACAGCATAGTTGACTAAAGCCTCAGCGCAAGTGATAAGATTTTTTAGAACTTTGGGCATTGTTTCCAACCGATATACATACGTATAAATATATTTTTTTATAACTTTGCCACTTTAGTTATCATTACAGTTGCTGCTTCATTGCTTTTGTTCTTGCGGCCATTGAATCATACCAAAATAAGAAGATAATATATTATATATCGCATATCCCCTTGTCAATCTCAATTCCTTCAGGCAGTTGATGTTTTTAGTACCAGTAAATTATCAATTGAGTGTGATTTTATTTATCAGTGTACAATCTACAAATGTATCCACATACATATGTACATATATATTTGAGACTGTTGGCCAACAAAAAACTTGCTAGTCTACTATGTCTTAAGTAGTCATTCATAACAATTTACTAGCATTTTTGTGAGGCTATATTTTGTGTCCGCGCGTCTGTCATACATCTTTTGCTGGCGGGTGCGGTGATGACTGGTAACTGTCAAGTGGCCACATTAAGTTGAATTCGACTGGTAAGTCGCACTTGTCTCCCACCTAGAAACAGGGGACCACCTCAGGTGTTCAGAAATTTCGTAAGGTGATCGATTTGGTGATTATGTAAGAAGAAGAAATTAACGGTATTAATTAATTTCTATATATAAGAATTGAGTCGCTTATATTTTTACACCCGAGCGCACTTGTGCACAAGGGTATATTAACGGTTGTTTGTAACAGCCAAAACGAATCGAGATAGATATAGACAAATGTATACATATATGCTCAGAATGAATAGAGAAATCGATTAAGCCATGTCTGTCTGTCCGTCCGTCTGTCCGTCTGTCCGTCCGTCCGTGTACACGATAACTCGAGCAAAGATTGAGATATCTCAACGAAATTTGGTATGTAGGTTTCTGTTAATCCAAGGTAGGTTGGTATTGAAAATGGGCGAAATCGGACAGTAACCACGCCAACTTCCCATATAACGGTAATTTCCAGAAATACGAAAACTGCGATATTTTAGTAACTACTGAAGATAATTCACTCAAACTTGATATTTACAAAACCTTTTTGACGAAAAATAAGAATATTATACATTTTTGGAAAATGGGCGTAGCCACGCCCACTTATGGTTACATGCAAGAATGATAGAATACAAGATTGCGCCGATCAGAGAGGATTTTTGAGAATAACTTTTGTGTGACGTCACACTGGTGCAATTGCGAGAGAGAAATGCCAAAATGTGAGCAAGAATGGAAGAAGAAGAAAAAATGTTGCAAGGAAAACGTAAACAAGTTGCACCAGTGTGACGTCATGCAAACAACGATTCTGTCAAATTCGTTAAGAGAGGAATAGCGGTCCGAGATCGGCGCAACCTTTGTATTCTCTCAATCGTGGGTTACATGTGTATATCTTAGGAACCGCTGCACCAATTTCTTCCAAACTTGGCACAGTTGTTGGCATACCAAATCGCCGAAAATGTTTAAATTTGGACGATAACCACGCCCACATCCCATATAACGGTAATTTAGAGAAATACAAAATCTTCGATAAATCAGTAAATATTAAAGCTAATTTATTCAAAATTGATGCTTGAAACAATTCTTTACCAAGAAATACGTTTATGGTAAAATTTTGGAAAAGGGCGGGGCACCGCCCACTTATGATCACATATATGTATATCGGTAACCGTTCTACCAATTTGTACCAAACTCGGTGTGGTTATTGTGCTTGCCACATAAAAGCAAAGCGTTGAAAATTATTGAAATCGGATTAAAATTACGGCCGCTTTTCATATAACGGTAAATTTCAGAAATGCTTGAAACTTCAATATTTCGAAAGTGAAGGACGCTAATTTACTCAAAATTGATACACCCCGGCTTACCATCTGCGGTAGGTTTCGTAAAGGTGAAAAAACATATATTTAATATTTGCGCCGGGTATTTAATGTTCGGCTCCGCCCGAACTTAGACTTTCTTACTTGTTTTTGTTAAAAAGATTATATTAAAGTCCTTCCTTTTTGAAGAATCTCTTTTAAATTAATATTTATTTCTCGCTATAAGCTGTCAAGGTTGTATGCCAGATGTAATTTAAACCATAAGTCATTGATATTAACATATTTAATCTCTTTTTTATTCTTACTGCGCTTGCACACATAGTGGGTCCAGAGATTTGTGCTACCCAGCCAGAACAGCTTTACGATAAAGAACGTCAACTCAACCTATGCAAGGTAAGTCGGGGTGTTTACTTTCAATTGGCATAAAAAAACATATATACATTTAGAAATACATATACATATATATAAGGATATTTTCAACTATTACGAGAGATCGTTAAATAGCTAATTTTAAATGAAAAACGCACCCTTTCAAACTGCACATTTCTAGTTATACAACTAACGCGCACGAAACGCACCACTACTTCCGCTTTTACTAAAACTCTAAATAAATAATTTGCTTCTAATTCTGCTGAACATCTTTATTTCTAATCTTCTAAATTTAATTTTGAACTATACTCAGTTTCGCGTAATCTATGCATGAAATTATTTATACACCTGTATCTAACAACAAAAACAAATTGTTTTCTAATTTTAACAGTGCCATTTCAATAGCAGTAGCTGCTAGCAAGGCAAAAAATCAGCCATTGCCTAAGACAATATCGGAAAAGGTGTCCAATTAACACAAGTTACTTACTACATATGTATATGCATATGTACAAATATGTATGAAAGCTTGTATATAATACAAACTGTTTACGTACATTTACTCACTTATTGCTTTGATTAGTCTGCTGCATTAATCTAAGGAATATACATATGTATAATTTGATAAGCGTAGAATGCGTGTATTTACTGGCTTGCCTGCTTAAAATAAAATCCATCATATGAAATATACAGTATTTTTTTTAAAAGTATTATTTATCACAATCCATAAGTAAAAGTACTTTGATATTTTGTAGATAGATACTCAATTAACAACACTGTAATTAATTATTTAATGTTTACACACTCTTTATTTAATAACCAAATACAGTTTTGATGAGCATTTAATTAAAAAAAAAAAATTGTTTATATTTAAACTTAATATATTATCCTGGTTAAGTTGCCCGCTTTTGTTTGTCGTGCATCAGTTTAGCGCATTCATTCATCTGTTGCTTGGTTGATATTAAATGCTTCTGTAAATATCAGTGTGTGTATTGTCATTGCAAGCTTTGTCATGTAATCCATATTTAGTAAGTAAGTAGTTAAAGTCTTAAGTGAATTCATACTTATAGATTGTATGAAGTGCTTTTGTATATACTTACATAAGTATGTTAGTTGATATGAAATAAAATAAGTGTTGGTACTCTCACAAGCTAACTCATCCTTTCTGTAGAAATATTGTGGGCTGATACATATATACGTATACAATTAATTTGAAAATGACAAACATTTTTGTATTGTGAACAATTGATACACACGGAGCAAATTTGATAATTTCCATGAGTACCTTTTCATACATATAAGTACATTAGGCTGCATCACCAAAAAAAGATGCGGGCTTTCCGCCGGAATTACAAAATTTATTATTTATTTGCAAAGAAATAAAAGGCGTGAGAAAATGCTTTTCGAATAATATCTCACAAGTCTAGATCGGAATAGTTTTGGTTGAGTTATTCAAGTTTTTCTTAAACTTATCTCTAAAAAAAGATCAAAAACACCATCAAAAATCTAATTTTTAAGCTTCCGTTGAAAATTGTTTTTAATGTTTTTACGGAAAAACAGTACCGATTATTTTTTGTATGAGGAGTGATGTAGTCTAATATACATACATACATAACTGACTGTTGCAGATTTACGAAAAAAGTTATAATTAGTGTAAACATCAGGGACTGTAGCGGTTTTGATCTTTACAACAAAAGTAAAAATTTTAACCATTAAAACTTAGGTTTCTCTTTTTCCAATCAAATTTAACTGTGATTTTATTATTTTTATTTTTCGGCATTTTTTTTATTATATTAAGAAAATAGACCAAACCATAATCGGTGTTTTAAGATTTAATCTTTTTAAGATGAAAAAAGATTTAAAAAGGTTATAAAACCGTAGTCATAATGGAGATGTCTAAAAACTAACAAAAAAAATCAAAATAACGATTATTTTTGATCGGAGAAAATAAAAATTATAAAATAACGGTTGAATTTGACTGAAAAAACAAAAATTCAAATTTAACGATTACTATTCGTCGAAACTTGGTAGCGATTTTGCAATGATCTAAAAATTAAAATCTTGATATTTAACTACGGTTTTCGATCCAATGTTTATATGCGACATATCGTTCCCTTTGCTTTTTTTTTGTGTCAAAATCTAGTTTTCTAGGACAGTCGGTAGATTACTCATTAAAATTTCACTAGAACTTAAAATAACTTCTACAGAATAAAATTCTTTAATAAAATAAGACGTTTAAAATGAATTCTGAGCTAAAGAATCTAGATTTTCTATTTTTTATATAGTTTTTTTTAACCACGCCGTTTAAAACTACAAAAATTCTAGACAGGACCTCTCTATGTTGAGGTAACGATATGTGCATTGGATAATAAGCATCTATAAATTGTTATGTATTTGATGATTACATAAATATCTGTTGTGTCAGGCATACAAAAAAATAGATTTATTTAAATGAAATTATAACAAAAAAAAATTGTTCTTGGCTACGATTACTCGTTTCCAAGGTAAAACGCAGCAAGAATTTTAGAACGAGAAAATAAAACTTGAGATGTCCCAGCGTTAAAATCGGTTTATATTGAAACTAAATTTAAGCCGAGACGTCGGAAATTGGTTCCACGATACATCAAACCGGGAATAAGAAGAACTTTCTCAAATGTTGAAATTTAACAACGAAAAAGTAAATCACTGACTGACTGAATTTCAACCTCTACCAATTTGAATTCAAAGCGAATTAGACTGAAATTCACTCCGGAGTGAATGTCAGAACCTGCCTGTATATCTCTTTTTTAGAAAAAAAAAGGTAGTGAAGCTATCATTTTTATCCCTAACACCAAAGATGTGTACATTAGGCCGTAACACCCTGTAAAAATTGCTAAATCGGTTTTTTTGTTCAACTTTTTTAGCTTGATGCCCGCTTTCCGATTTTGCTGTCTTTACAGGGTGTCGGAAAAAAGAATGTTTACTCTCCTGAAATAAATTCATAGTGAGTGTTCTAACTGGCCGTCTTCACAGGATAAACTTTATTGCTGTCCAGTTGTCATTTTGGTCGCTAGATATAAGTTATATCAGTGGCAATATTTGTGTGAGCTTTTTATATCTTGATATAAGCGTTTGTGAAATAGCTTCGAAGTCGTATTTTTTCCGGAAACCAAGGAACAAATTGAATGTTTTTTTTTGTGATATGGTATAATGTAGGGACATATGTATGCTTTTGTCTGTTTTTCAAACAAATATACATATTATATAGTTAAGCTTATAAATAAGTACCTAAATATATTATGTTTACGTAGATAAATATGAATTTCTTGTGAACCTGCTACATACACACATACACACATATGCACATTAAGATACCTCACTCAAAAATTTGCACTTAAGGAACAAATAACTTTTCAAAATAAGTATACGCGTTTGTAAGGTAACTTTTGGCAATTTTATTTCAACTTTATATTTTATTTTATAAAAACTTGGATAACTCCCAGTAGAGAGTTTTTAAGTTTTTTAATCGAGTTTAAATTTTTTAATATACAGCTTAATAACTTTGCACGAGACATTGCTTTAACGCCTCGCTCCTAATTAAAAACACAATTATTTAGGAAGAGCGTAATTAGTATTTTAATAATTTTTTTTCTTTTCGATTTTGCAAAACTAAAATTATTAAAATATTTGAAAAATATTTTTTTTCGTTTTTAGATTTTTTTTCTCAGGTAAAAAATTTCATAAAAATCAGATTATTCTTATGATCGAACTTAAAACATCCTATATGCATGTCAATAGCAGCGCGCTAACTATTCTGCTATCAAAGAGATTTGCTGAAGTGCCCGATATCCATTTTTAGCAATCCAATCTAAAGCTCCTTTAATGAAAGCACTTGTTAGGTGGCTATTAAAAAGTGCGAAGCTTTTACTTTTTGTGATATGTATGCATGTGTATACACATGTAGGTATATATGTATGTATGCATATCGAAGACTACACGCTAATCACATTAATTATAGACTTGGTTGGAATGATAGCAATGCTCATATGATATAAGAAATTGGTCGAGATTATTGACTTGGCACTGATAGCACAGTCATTAGCGTCTATGTCCATCGTTCAGTATCATAGGCCGTGATTTCGATAACGAGTTCAAAGCCCAGTACATTTTTGTTTTTGTTTTTTTTTATTTTACCTTTTTTTTTATTTCACAACTTTTTTTTTATGTACATACTGGAATCTAATTAATATCCGACCCAACTCAATGGCATTAAATCCAAGTTATTTTTATTGATGTAAATATGTTACTGCAAATGAATGCAATCAAGTCACATACGCTATTAAAATCTGTAATTACTCTCGATCATCTCCATTTAAGCGGCTTTTCTTTTGAAGAGGGATACAAGTTTTATGACAAAATGTTTGATGTAATCTATTAGCGCTGAGTTCTACTCTTTAGGTGTTAATAATCTGGTGATTAAAGTTAATTCATTAATTATCGCCATAAGTTAACGGCGCGTAACCATAAATTAACATTAGCAGTTCAACTAAATATGTCACTTATGCAGTTTTTAAAAGAGGTTAAATGAGTTGAGAAATAAATATATATATATTATGAGTCCACTCATATGATATACGTACATGGCTCTATGTGATTTAATGAAGCAATGCAAAGATTTGGTATTCGATCTTCAGTGCTGATAGTTAGCTTTCCGTATGTTTTAGAAGGTCGTTCACTCTTGACAAAATATAAATAACGCCGAGCAGTCCCTCAATCCAAAAGCTTTTCAGTTGAAATTTTGATTTTAAATAAACCGATATCTGCTCAGATTTGTTCTAATCTGTAGGCCATTTGAGCATTGTGTTGGAAAGTACCTTTAACGTTCTATTCAGTTAACTCAATATAGGTATGGCAAAAGTCGTTGCCAAGCCACTTAGTGAATACCCCTTATGTCTCGTTACAAAAGTATAATTCCAAGAAAGTTCAACGTAACCGCTTTTTTCTCTGCAACGATTCATTTATTATTATTGCTTTTTTTTGAAAGAGGG